GGCTGATTAACTGTGCCAGGGACACCATGTCATCTGATGCCTTGAAGAAGGGGTAGCGTCCACTCAGGATGGATAAAAAGATGATCCCTGCTGACCAGATGTCCACAGCTGTTAAAAAGTAAATAATTCTTTTGTCAATATAGAGAAGATATGCAAAGATATTATCAATATTAAAAAAAAAAATTATTGACTACAACTACTGCTTAATCCATGCATGTTAACAACTAGTTCAAGATTGTGATAACCAGAATATCATTCTTTAGAATCATTTCCAGAATGTTATATTTTTAAGTTGTATCAACAAATTTCTAAATCAAAAGCAATCTTTTAGGGTGTGGTTATCATGCCTGTGATTCACATATACAATACTAAAAAAAAAAAAAAAAAAACATGTATATCGAAATGTCTCCTTTGTTTATGTAACTTGATTTGTTCTGAAATATTTTCTCACCTGTTGTTTGATGTTGGTGTTTCATGAGGACCTCGGGAGCTCTGAAGCCTGGAGTACCAGCTCGTGGTGCCTCCTGGCGGGACCTAAAATAGAATCAAACTTCTTTGAAAAGTGAAAAAAAAACATCATAATTATGTGCACTTTCTCACAAACAACACCCAAAAAGGCTTATTAATTTTTGTTCAAAATAAATTCAAAACAGATTTAAAAAAAACAAAAAACAAAAAGGTATGACACCAAAAAAATTTGGAGGAAAGTTTGTTTGTGTGTATGTATGTGCCCTTGTCAGGTGGGGATTGGTTAAAAAACACAGTAATAATCATCAGTAGCAATACGTTATATCTCACCTGGCTACACAAACCCTGCACACCTGAGGCAACCCAAAGCACTGGCAGGGAGAGGGAGACACTGTTCCACAAGACAGTCTGGTTCCAAAGCTGGGCTTGGACTTAGCAAGTGCCTGTCTGTTAGCAAGAGTATGTGCCTTCCCTTGACCAAACAGTGATCCCTGGTCATTTCCATGAACAAGAAGAGTTCTCTTTGCGAGAGCAAATCTTCGTGGAGATTTTGATTTTGTGAAAGCGACCGTGGTGAGATCTGGGGTGGGGGGCGTAAGGTTGTGGCCCATGGTGTGAGAGAGTTTATTCATGATGGCTTTATCCTCCTCGGTGCTCGCCCTGATCCTTGTTATTTTGGGATTGGTTGAGATTTCTTCGAGTTTCTGTGATGATTGGAAGTCCTTTTTGGGAGACAATTTAGGAGTATTCTGAATGAAAATAAAATGGAAATCTATAATTAAAATAAATATGCAGACATTTTCTCCAATATGAAATGCTGAAGACTTCTTGACTGAAGGACAAAATTTTGTGGTTTTTAAACACTTTTTAAGCCTTTTTTGTATTGAAAAAAAATTAAAAGTCAAAACAAAAAAGGAGAATTAAATTTACACTACATTAAGACTTAAGTATTCAGCAACATATACAAACAGAGACCTACCTCATTTTCAAGGGAACACCTTGCTTTCCTCTTGTTTGGAGAGGCTAGGGGAGTGGCTGCCTGACGTTTGAGTGGCACTGAGCTGACATCTGATTGACACTGCTTTGATAAAGTGGGTGTGTCAGTAAGTTGCTTGACTGACACAACAGGTTTTTTTTCTTGACTTGTACGGTTGGTCTGAGGGTGGGATTGGAAGAGGATAGGTGTGGCCAAAGTACTTGATGAGTCCTGAGCCAAGCCAAAGTCCACAAGGGCATATCTGAAATTGAGAAATAAACTGAGTATTGATTTGAAAATAATTTACACCATTTACACTAAATTGTTTTCAAGCTCATCCAGGGCTTTCAAGGACTGTCAGCATGGAGGTGCTGTCACATGGGGGGAGAGGTATTTTTTTCAAGAACCTATTTAACCCACGATACTTTAATATGATGTAATTTAATCAGGCCACTTTTAACACAGAGCAAAAAATACATTCATTTAGGGCCTGATTAAATTATTTGTTTCCCTTAAGGGCTCACAGGTGGTATATTCCAATAATATTTTAATATGCTATTGTGCCTTACTTTTTCAACTTTCTGTTGTATAAGAAGTTACTGGGTTTCACATCTCTGTGGATAATGTTGTACTGGTGAACTTGAGCCAGAGAGACCAGCAGGTTGCGCATGTATTCCCTCATTTCTTCAACATTCATGCTTGTGATGTAGTCCTACAACATGAAGATAGCCAATATCATTACATCGTTCAATAATGTGAGAACCCTTTCATGTTCCACGATAAATGAGAAAAACTGAAAGCAAACATTATAATATCAAGCAAGCAAACTGCAAAATGCTTAATCTTTGCTATACAAAAATTGCACAACAAAATTCAAACATCTTAAATTCTTCTAAATCCTAAGACAAGAGTTGCACTTGAAAAATACATGCTTCTGATAAAATAGCTTTTTCAGCCAAAACCTGAAAACCACACATCAATAAAAAAAATCTTAAATATCATTCAACTAGTTTTTTATGTAGTATCATGTAAAAACATAACGATGAACAGAACTTTAAAAACTTACCTGAAATACATCATGTTGGAAGTAGGGCATCACTATGACAACATGATCTCTTTCCCGTAAACACAACTTCACCCCCATGACATTGTTTTTACCTCTGAAAATATTATTGTTCATCACCATATTATAGAGCTATGCTAAAGACCATCAATTAAAACAAAAAAAAAAAAAAAAAAAAAAACTCAAATGATCTTTAACTTAATAGTCATATGATTGATAATTAACATTACCTCTTTTTCCAATAATCGTACATATAACTAGTATCAAGAGAAGTGCACCCTAATTTCAGGTTAAGAAATTCTTAAATGTTATTTTTTTATTGTATAAATGTACAGAATTCAGTGGATACTGGCTGTGTGTGCTTGTGTGTGTGCACATGTGCACCGTACATAATGCAGGGATGAGACCAGTCCTCACTGAAAAAGTAGGAAAATTGGCCAAGGGTCCAGGGTACACAATTCACAAGAATGACCCAAATGACCCTGAAAAAGTCAGAATTTCGACCAAAGTCGGAAAAGTCTCATCATTGATAATGCTTACCCCATTTGTAACAAGCACTTAAGCTCCCGTTCTATCCTCTCTGGTTTGCTAGTTGGTACTAGATGTTTTAAAGCAAAATACTGTGTCACGTTGGGATGTTGTTTAAGTTTGGCGAGATAGACTTTGCTAAAGGTTCCTGAAAGATGGACAAAATATAAATAAATAAATAAAACCAGGCTTACTATAGAGAGAGCAAAGAAAAATACACCCACTGAAAAATCAGGGTAACCATCAACTATCCTCTTGCCTTATTTAAGTGAAACAATTTATCTTTGTAAAATAACAATTTTTTTATTAAACGTTCATTAATACTATGGATATTAATTATTCAATTTATAATTATCATCTATAGGATTCTTGATCCAGGAATTCAGTGAAACAAGTAACAGATCTTGAATCTTGAAGTAGACCATATGTCTTTTTCTATTTTAATTATTTGATAAACACCTAGTTTAACATTTTTCAAACATACCTTCTCCTATTTTCTTCAGGACTTGGAACATTTCTTTCACTTTGGGAACATACTGGTACAGATTTTCAATTTCATCTTGCTCCTCAACTGAAAATTGGGAATGCACATGAACAAATTCATAAGCTCCTTCAGTCTATTATTTAAATATAACTCAATGATGCTTTCTTTCTTCTAAATGATTGCTTTATAATTATTTTATTATCATTTTAAAAAGAAAAATATAACTGACGTTACAAAAAAAAATCTGTTTATCATCAAATGACAAAAGCCGCAGATACAAGGTAGCACACAACTCACGAGTGAGGAACTCAAGAGGGTCTTCAATCATTTTGTTTTGAGGTAGAAAATAGGACCCAATGCCACCTGGTGGGGACTGATCCTAACAAAAACAAAAGTATTGATACATTTCTAGTTCCACTTACACAGTCGAATACATAATCTATACAAAGATGTGATCTTAAAAGTATAAATTCGTCAAACCTGCTATCAGATTATAGGTTACTAAATGAGTTTTAAACCAAATTCAAGGCTACGGCTAAATCAATGGAATCCTCTCCCGCCTCAATCAACATGTATGAGCTGTGTATTTGACAAAAATAAATATTCATAGAACAATTTACCAACAATCTCTGAAGCAAATAATCCATATATTTAGATCATCATAACAAAATCTCATTTTCTCAAGCTAAAAAGAGATAAAATACATAGCCTAATTATGAATAACAGAGAAAAAAGTTACCTCTATATATTTCCCAGTTGTTTCTACGNCTTCAGTTTAACACTTCACTGCCCGTGGACAGTTACGACTGTAGCGCCCCTAGCGGATTGTGATCTACCTACAGTAATGCCATTCACTCATCAGTGACAGAGTAACAATTAAATTTATATTCAGTGTAAAAAATTTTAACCATACTTAAACTGCATTGCTTCTATAACATTGATTCTATACATATTGATGAATTAAACGTAACCTTTTTAAGGCAAATATTTGAGTGACCCCTAACTCTTAAAATTTTAGGAAATTGAAAAGAGATGATACAGTACTACTAGTATATTAATATAATTTTTTTTAACTAATGGGAAGCGTTAAGAATTATAATGATCAAGATAGTTACAGCCTTATATCAGAGTATGTTATTGTATAGATATGGATTGAAGCTTGTTCGAATATGATTGATTTATTGGAAATTAATAAATTACAGAAGAAAATGAAAAGCAAGAGGTACTTTGATGAAGCAGGTCATGAAGGCAAAGTTGAAGAATACACAGTTGATGTAGACACCTTTCTCAAGGAACAGAGAAAAGAAAGAAAGAAGAAAATAAAGGAATTGAAGACAGCTCGACAAGAAGAAACAAAATCTCGCAAAAACAGACATATATTAAAAAAGAAAAATAAACAAGAAACAGATGTTAGACAAAAGGTAAAAAAGAAATTTTCTGAATTGCTATAATGAATATGGGGTTAACCTTTTAAATTAGTAAACTATATTTATTGTTATCAATACATTATGATATAAACTAATGAGCTTCTGTTATTAAGAGTTCTCAACAAAGCTTTCAGTGGGAGATAAATAACCTGCATAGATTATTTATTATATAACATTGGTAAAGTTTGATTTCTTTTTTTAAATAGTAATTGCAATGTACATTTTAGGATTTGTCTAAAGTGTTTGATATATATTGTTTTTTATATATACTATATTAACATTAGGTGGACCCATACCCAGGTGATGCTCCAATATCTAAAAAGAAACTACAGAAATATGGAAGAGGAGAAAAGCTAGACACTGTAGGTAACAGGATTGATTCATAATAGCATGTACATTATGGCTGTTGATTAGTAATTTTATTTACATTTGTGTGTCTGGTGGGGAGAGGCGAGGTTAAGACACTAAACAAGTAACCACTCTGTTTTGCATGGACTTTAGAATGTAGAGTGCATGGTTTTGTGGGATAAAAACTAGTTTATTTTTAATACATATCTTTTATAATTTTGTTCCATGTACACGTTTTGGTTGCAGAGGGGTATGAAGACAAAATATCATCAGGATACATTTTCCAGAAAAGAACAAAGAGTGAAGGAGGCTGTAAGACAAGCAGCACGCTCTGAGTTCCTTCTCAGTGAAGAACAAGGGTCAGTTTACAAGGGTTATATTTTAAATGTTACAGTTTTTATTGTTGAAAGAGACTGTTTTATTGGACAGTAATATATAAAATTTATAAAATTTTATGTATAATTGTCTCCAGTACCTCTGTTTTCTTCCAAAATCACCTGTCTAAGCCCAAAAATGTGTTGCAGCCTTTTTAAGTGATGAAATTGCCAAATTGCTTTTTTAATTGAGTAAATATGCAAGAAATGCATGGAAGTGTTTAACTGGCTTAAAGCATGGCATACTTCTGATTTTGGAACAAGACTAATTTTCTGGGACTTGCCAGTTATTTCTATATTAACATCTTGGGGTAATAGACTGAAGTTACTGGCTTGTCAAGATTATGGAAAGTTTATTATAGATTTAATTGAACTTGTATAAGGCTTTATTTTTTGAGAACAAAATAATATAATATTGAGCTAATCATTCTGTGTTATTCAGGTATCTAGAAGCTGATGAAGATGAGGAGACCTCCCAGATCACACAGCATGATATAAGCAGTGCCGTGGATATCACCAGTGCTCAGAAGGTAAGTACTTAAAGGGATAATAACTCTTCGTTTTGGCCAAAAAATGAATTTTCCTGGAGTAAACAACAATTTTCCCATACTTACCAATGGTTAATGAATCCATTTTTACATTCAAATTTAGTCCTTGGTTTTTTTCTAAAAAGTTTGGTTTTTTGTTAAAATCTCTTAAGAGATTATAACAGAGTATAGCCATCAATGGAGGTCACGTGATCTTAAGACAAGCTCAGATATCAGAATAATAGCTATAACTGCTGTTTTCGTCGTAAAACAGAATATATTATATTTCTATGAGTTATTTACAATGTTTTTATTGTGAAATATAGATTTCATACGAAGAGTTATTATCCCTTTAATAATGGACTACTTATCAGCTTAATATAGTGCACAATAGCATTCTGTGCACTGGTAGGGCATAATGTTGTGTATATTGAGCAGTAGGTGAGCAGTGGCTTTTTTTTTTTTTTTTTTTTAGTTGAACCGGTTTAGTCTGTTCTTATAGTTTGGTTATTATAAGATATTATTTCAGTTGTTTTTCTTTGCAGTATTTTGAGTTGGAGCTGAACCAGTTTGGTCCATACAGAATGAATTACACCAGAAATGGCAGGTTTCTGCTGATAGCTGGCAGGAAGGGTCACGTAGCTGCCATGGACTGGCAGACAAAGAAACTTATGTGTGAGATGAATGTCATGGAGACAGCCCAAGATGTCAAGTAAGAGGTTCTGCATCATCACAATATCATGAGATTTGGTTGAGTTTATGCGTCTTATTCAATGGATAAATTTTTCCAATCTTTTATAACCATTTTTTTTTTTACTCTCATGGTGTTATATGTTGTTTTGGAACATTTTTTCATTTTGTGCCAATAGTCATCAGTTTAACAGTCTATTGAAAAATATTGGTAAGAGTTTGTCAAATGTAAACATAACAGGTGCCCTATTTATGAAAATCACTTGAATAAAAAAGTGTTCAATAGGAATATTAAAAACTCTTTGAGAAAAAATATCTTCATAGATTTGTTTATTGATTAAGAAAGAAAAAAGAAAACCGTTGCCATAAAACATCATTTGTCTATGCCAAACTTCCCTTTTTTTTTTTCCGTCCCAGTGATGTCCCTTTTTTTCATTCCAGTGATGGGTGATTGAGAAACCGCTTTCAACTTAGAATTGTGTCATGGTATTATAAACAGCACAGAGAGTTTAATATGAACATATTTAATATGTTCACATTTCAGGTGGTTGCACATTGAGACCATGTTTGCAGTAGCTCAGAAACAGTGGACGTATATCTATGATAACCAGGGGATAGAGCTGCACTGTTTGAAGGCTCTGGACTGTGTACTTAGGATGGAGTTTCTTCCTTACCATTTCCTTCTGGCGTCAGCTGTAAGTAGTGGGACTTTCAAGGATATCATGATAAAGCTTGGAGAACTTTCCATGCATTTTATGATTATATTTGATGTGTTTTGAGTTAATGCTTGAAAGCAGAAGTAAATTGAGAGTATGGCTGTTACATAAAGATTTATGATGTGCCCTATCCTTCCTTTGAGGAGTGTGGTCTCTTGAAATAGCAGGAGCAAAAAATTACTGCAAGGCAGTAGCAGGATAATGATCATAACAATCCTGTTGATTTTAAAGCCCTATTCTAAACAAATTGATAAATATATTTGAGTTTATGTATAGTCTTTGGGGAAAGTATTAGATATTTTAAGAACATTAGTGCTGAGATAAAGTTTTAGGAATATTTAAACACGGCACTGAGAAAGCATTGTTACAATAGATCTCTATTCTAATTCAAGTTTTTTGTTTGGTCTAGAATGCCAAGGGCTATCTTTCCTACCTGGATGTGTCTATCGGCCAGAAAGTAGCTGGATTCCAAACCCACCTTGGGCGCCTTGACGTCATGTGCCAGAATCCCCACAATGCAATCATACATCTGGGCCATGCTGGAGGTAATGCAGTCAACTTTGGGATTCTTAACCCATTAGCATTTGTTATTGTTTTTTATGTGAATGTTTAAATAATACCTGTATGTAATCTTAGATCTTTGTGCATTGCTAAGTAAGCAGAGGTTGTTTTCACAAAATTTAAAGTAACTGTTGGTTTGTAAGCATTTATTCCAGAATTCATATCTCCATTTCAAGTGCATTGATTATTTTGGAAAGATTAAAACACTGCAGCATTTGAAACGTCATACCATGGAGTGTTTAAATGGGAAAAGAGGTTTGGTTTTGAAAATCAGAAATAATTTCAGGCACAGTTTCGCTGTGGTCCCCCAATGTGAAGGAACCTCTAGTGAAGATGTTATGTCATGGCGGGGGAGTGAGATCTGTGGCTGTCAATAACAAAGGAGTGTAAGTAGTTTCTTTGTTATTTTGTACCTATTTCTACACAACCACCCTATTTTGCCTTTTATGGATATGAATACATTCTTGTAAAGGAGGCCAACTAGTCCTGTTGATAGCTTTAAAGGTAAAATATAAGGTATTTTCCAAGTTATATTTAGAAACAGAAAAAACAGCAAACTTTAATTTGATGTTCGTAATGAAAAAATTACCTTGTCTCAACTAGTGCTGGACTTGCCTTGTTATAAATTTTTATAAGGCCAGTGTGGCGCATTTACAGCCAATATAAATTCAGTGATAGACAAAACAGTGTTAATATGAAAATTACTCCAACTAAATACCTGACAGTCTTACTAAAACTTTGGAATATATAAAAAAATTATTAATATGTGTAATCCTGTAGGTACATGGCCACATCTGGCGTGGACAGATATCTGAAGATCTGGGACATGAGAATGTTCAAACCTTTCCAAAACTACAGGATATCTGCTGGGGCCGGCCATCTTGCCTTCAGTCAGAAAGATGTCCTCGCAGCTGGCATAGGGAATGTTGTGGAGGTATCAGGTTTTTCTTACTTTTTATATGCGGCACACGTCTACAGCTCATTCATTTTATTTTCTTCTTCTGCAGTTTTGCAAATCTAGGCCATTTTTGTAGAGGGTTCTATTAGGTCCAAACCTTAAGCTTGTAATTTGAAACTAACATTGACACATTAACTCTGATGAATATTTTAGAGGAATGGCATATGGTTAGGTGAAGCATTGATGTTTCTTCCATCCTGTTAGAACATCCCCTCCTCCCCATTTACCCTAGAAGTTGATGGTTTGCCTAGGTACATTTTAACATCTGGCTGTGGTCTTACTCATACATTCCGTATAATTTTTTTCACAGGTGTACCAGGACTGTTGTAGACACACCATGACAAAGCCATACCTGTCTCACAGACTGAGGAGTCCTGTTGCCAACCTGCAGTTCTGTCCATATGAAGATGTCCTTGGAGTGGGACATGGGAACGGCTTCTCTAGTTTACTTGTGCCAGGTAAAGTGGTGGATTAATAGGAATTAGTGGTAATACTAGACTTAATAAGCTTGTGTGTGTGCGGGCGTGTGTGTGTGAGAGAGATAGAGAGAGAGGGAGGGAGGAGTTATTCTAATTAAAAGGGATTCGATTGAATCGACTGTTGCTGTATTTATAAAGGATTCTCAACAAAGCAGGGATTACTATTACCATGTATCAAGAAGAGTTGATGAACCAAATGTTATTATATCTTACCCCCAGGTGCTGGAGAGGCCAATTATGATGCTCTAGAGACCAACCCATACCAAACAAAACAACAGAGAAGGCAGGCAGAAGTCAAAATGTTGCTGGAAAAGGTATGAAGGGGACAGAGAGATTTTTGTTAGATTTTTTTGTCATTATTTTTGTGCTGAATTTCCTGTTTACCCTATTAAGCTTTCCAATTTTATTATTTATTTTTCTATATTTGTGGGAACTTGTGTATAGAGATAGTTACAGGGTCAGTGGTGTTGTTATCAGTGCTCAGTGGGATGGAGTTTTCATAAAACCCGAGTTTTTCCTGCTCCAAAAATTAATTGTTGAGAGCTCTTGAGTTATTAATTTTTTTCACATCCTTGCTCTGAGATTGAGTCAGGGATTTGTTTAAGACGGTGCTCTTGAAAAATATAGCACAGAACAATGTGTGTAGTAAATTGTTTTTGTGGCAAATTCATTCAGACAAACAACATTTATTGTATTGATTTAGTGACACAAATAATTTTTGCTAAACTACAAACAAGATGGGTTTTCATTTCAGATACAACCAGATATGATCAGTTTGGATACGGGTGCTCTGGGGAAAATTGACACTAAAACTCTCCAGGAAAAAATTGAAGAGAGGAACAAACTTCTTGTAAGTGTTGACAAGTGTCTTTAAGGTCTAACCATCAAGGTAACATGCAGGGCGAGTAAAGTGTCCGTGGATGGTTAAAGAATTAAACTTTTTGTACTTAAACACCAGTTATTACTTACAGTGTAATTATGTACATTTTATATTGCCCTTGCTCTTTTTTATGCTGAACTTTTTTGTAAAAAAAAAAAAAGAGACGTTTGAAAAATTTCAGTTCATCATTGTTATTCGCAATGCAGTTGTAAAGCTTACTATATTTGTTATATTTCCAATAGTTCCTGAAGCCCCAGAAAATAGACTTTGAACCAAAATACAAAATGAAAGGCAAAAGTAAAGGAAAGAAGCACATACAGAGGAAGAAGGGTGTAATGGAACAGGAGAAGAAAGAGACAATCAGAGAAATTGTACAGCTTCGGCAAGAAGATAAGAGAGAAAAACTTAAAAATGATAAACGTTACTTTGGACCAAAAAGTGTTCTTGATAGATTTAAGAAAAAAAGTGAGGCAACGTGATGGGTTATGTACTAGAAATTGAAAAAATCATCTTTTTATTAATAATTCTCTTTTATTTATAACTGAACATGTGAATTAACTCATAAAAATAAACAATACTTTTTGCCTATTGTTGTATAAATGTGGTCTTTCTATCTGTAAACTTCTGGTAACTTTGGCATGAACTTTGTTACATGTGAATATAAAATGTGATGCTGTCTTCATTCTTTTATAAACAACTTATAAATAACATTCTGATCAGCTCATAAACCTGCATGTTGGAGTTTATCTGCTCTTTTTTTAAACATCAAACACATTCGTTTATATAAACTGCATAGAGAGGGGATTTAATTACTGGAATAGAACTAGATATATGTTCAACAAACAGTAAATGATACTGAAGATATAAAAACCAAGGTGATTCTGAACAGCTCCTAGCTGACAATGCGCCAGTCAGATTCCCGTTTCCATCTCAGGCTATGTAAATAATGCTAAAACATTACAAACAGTCCAACGCCAAAGTAGTATCAAATATGTGATAAAGCCGTTCACCATTTGGACCATTGTATGACAGCAGACAACATTCCAGCCATGGTTTTTGCTCACTTCTTCCTGGCATTGGGGACAATTCCTTTAACTGTCCTTCCACAAACTTTAATCCGTCCTCCTGCCAGATGAGCGTTTCAGGAGGAAGGTCATTTAGGAAAGTGACCTAACGAATAAAAGGAAATAAAATACTTTTTATCCACATCATTTCATTGATAGAATTAAGTACTATACTATATGGCTGAACAGATGCATTGCCTAAATGAATTATAACAAAACTGATTGGGTTTACATTTACTTTTTCTGCTAGTCCTTGCAAATTAAAGTCTGTGATGTAGACAGTACGCATCAACTGATCAAATACAGCAAGAAGAACATCTTTTGTGCATTCTTTAACTCAAATTATTTTTCTAAAAATCAAATTCTATATCAAGCATCAGTTTCCAGTATATTCAAAACCTAAAATTAAGCTGATTCTTGCCTCCCAGCATCAACCCAAATTAAAAAGTATTTCTATAAAGCCTCTGATATATGTGAGATAATACACTGTCAACAAAGTGATATATGTCAGAACAGCCTGAGCATCAGCAAAAGGTGTTCAAGGCATACATCACTTGGGTGATAGTGTATCATTTGACATAAATACTGGGTGGAAAAAAAAAACGCCTCTTAAACCAAATAAAGCGTATATATCACTAATGGTCATATAACATCTCTAGACTAGGTGTACATATAGAACAGTTTCATATTTTTCACTCAATGAACCCTTACTGCATGCTGCTTCCAGATTCTAGCCACCAGCCAGCCAGTCCCATCCTCCAGTAAAAACTCCATCATGTACACATATTCTAGTTCCTGCCCATTGACCACTACCTGACCATCTGTGCTGGTCACTTCAGTCCCGGCACTGGTCACCCTGGTTACTGACCACTCGGAACTGGTTGCTGCTGAGATTGACCTTTGGTCACACTGAGGACAGGAATAGTAAGGAACTTTATCCTGTACTCTGCTGGGAGCGTGCTCCGAAAGCCATTTGGAGTCTGGAACCGCCCTGGTGGAAATAAGTGCAAGTAGTTTACACAGAAAAAGTGAAAGCGAAAGTAGAAACCACTTGACAGTGCCCAGAAGTGCTCCTTTACACTGGCATCTTTATATACAGCTTCAAATTCACTAATGAATGGTATTTTTATACAGTTTGAAACTGACTACATTTCTATTAAAAATGACACGGGTCAAGAGGTGTGCTTCACAAGAAAACTTTAGACAGAAAGTGGGTCGTAACTTTGAAAACAAAAACAGGCACAATATTACATTTCATTGGACTACTGGTGCTGCTGATCTATCTGTGCTCAAATAAAACCAATTTCATAAATCTTTTTTATTTTTTTAGTGTGTGTGTAAGAGATAGAGAGAGATGACCCGTTTTTCCAGACCCCACATACTTACAAGTAATGGCACATAGGGCACGTCAGTCGTATGTATGGAGGCTGCTTGGGTTGGTAGTCCAGGACCTGGGCAAGAACTCGGAACGTGTGGGGAACACTGTGATGTAAGACTTCTTGTATTGTGGAGATTTCTAAGTGATGGTGTCCGTTGATAACTGAAGTGTAAAATAGACATTTATTTGCCATTCAATGACTATTTCAAAATTAAAGATGACAAAAGATGTCTATGTGGTGCCCCCTTTTAAATTTATTTGGAAATTATACAATTTATCAAAGTGTCATGTACTTTTACATTATGCTTTAAAGGTAAAATGTAGGAAAATGTATTTTATTTCAGAATTTTCAGATGGGCAGACAAAGCCTTGCTAAATGTATTAAACAAACGTAATATACATATATTAAAAAAAAATTTAAATATACCTCAAAAAATTACTCAGTCAGAGACGAATTTTAATACCTGATGCAGTTTTCAAAAGGCATCTGTCCACTTTCCTAGCCTGATGTGGTGTTTTTCTTGGACTATAGGAGGCACCACCAGCCTGGGCACCTCCCACTGTGTCTTTGCCACTGGGACTGCTGTTCAAATCAAGAGACTCGCTCTCATCAATTATGACTACATTTTCTACTCTTGGTTCCATAGAATGCCCAATACTATGTTCTGACCTGCTTGACCTCTGGTCTGCTGTGTCTCTACTTTTTCTTGGGCTTTTTGAAACTCCTCTGGATGTACTGGGTTGGGGAGAACTAGGTAATATCACATTTCTGCTNCTTTTTCTTGGGCTTTTTGAAACTCCTCTGGATGTACTGGGTTGGGGAGAACTAGGTAATATCACATTTCTGCTAGTCATACTGTTAGAGTTTTTGTTTGCTGCTTCCCCCATCTTTCCAGGGCTTGTGGATTTACCCATAGAAGTACTTGGCTGAGGATTGTTGGGACTACCAGGTGCCCCTTCATCTTGCAGCTGAGGACAAACCTGAAAATAGGCTCAAATGTTCATATCATTTTCTTCATGCCTGCTTTGAATCACTACCAATGCACAAATCATATTACAACATACTGCTCCAAAAACCTAGTGTACAAATAAGAAATCAGTTAACAACAGCTCATCAATAGTAAATCTCCACCATAAAGACATGCCTACAATTAGACTAAGACAGGTCCTAGAAAAGTTAACAGAACAAGGTTGTTTGCTTTCAAAGCTTCATCCATGTCGGGGTCTTTGTTACCTGTTGTTCTACAGTGTAAATATGTCTATTTCTGGTATAAGTCAGTCTGCCTGAGAGCACTCTTAGCAAGCAAAGAAATAAAAATGTCACCAAATGTTGACCTGATCACAAATGACACTTTCAGTAGATGTGTTGAAAAAAAAAAAGGCACAAGTCCTAGAAAGATCATACCCCATTCATAATTTCTTTTAAACAGGTCACTTCTCCGCTGCCTTCAGCCATGACCATTATTCCTCGGCCATATGATGTCCCTTTGTGCAGGCAGAGTTCTATGGTGGGGACAGCACTCAACTCGGGACGGGTGTCTTCATCCTTGTACATAGCAGCATGGAGATTCTTCAGCATGATAAACTGACCAGGCTAAGAATACAGAACAAGGCAGCAAAGCTGTCAAATGTACAGACAAAAAGCAGACAATAACAATGCACAAAACAGGCTACTGTCAATTCTGATGCAAAAGTACATTATGCTTAACTGCAAATTCAACATCAAATTTTAATTATGCTCAACAGGTAATACCAATGTAAGTGAAATGTGAAACAAGCGTAAGGCTTCAAGCCCATGGGAGTTTAAGTTCACACTTTGAATATGCCAGAATGAGAAAAATGAAAATTTCACATAAAACTGCTTAAATTCAATAATAAACTAGAGGATCAGAGAGGCGATACCGCCTCTGGATATTGTACCACCAGCTGGAGTAAGCGCATTCGTATGGACACCCCCCCCCCAAAAAAAAAAGAAAAAAAAAAAAAATGGACACCACCACCAGTCTTGTGCTTGACAAGCTCTATAAAATGCAATAAACAAGAGTTCTCAAAATATGAAAAAAAAAAAA